CGGGTCTGAAACCCCAGGTATACCAACCACGGGTCTGAACCCCCAGGTATACCAACCAGGGGTCTGAACCCCCAGGTATACCAACCACGGGTCTGAACCCCAGGTATACCAACCACGGGTCTGAAACCCCAGGTATACCAACCACGGGTCTGAACCCCCAGGTATACCAACCACGGGTCTGAACCCCCAGGTATACCAACCACGGGTCTGAACCCCCAGGTATACCAACCACGGGTCTGAACCCCAGGTATACCAACCAGTGGTCTGAACCCCCAGGTATACCAACCACGGGTCTGAAACCCCAGGTATACCAACCACGGGTCTGAACCCCCAGGTATACCAACCACGGGTCTGAACCCCCAGGTATACCAACCACGGGTCTGAACCCCCAGGTATACCAACCACGGGTCTGAACCACCAGGTTTACCAACCACGGGTCTGAACCCCCAGGTATACCAACCACGGGTCTGAACCCCAAGGTATACCAACCACGGGTCTGAACCCCCAGGTATACCAACCACGGGTCTGAACCCCCAGGTTTACCAACCACGGGTCTGAACCCCCAGGTATACCAACCACGGGTCTGAACCTCCAGGTATACCAACCACGGGTCTGAACCCCCAGGTATACCAACCACGGGTCTGAACCCCCAGGTATACCAACCACGGGTCTGAACCCCCAGGTATACCAACCACGGGTCTGAAACCCCAGGTATACCAACCACGGGTCTGAACCCCAGGTATACCAACCACGGGTCTGAACCCCCAGGTATACCAACCACGGGTCTGAACCCCCAGGTATACCAACCACGGGTCTGAACCCCCAGGTATACCAACCACGGGTCTGAAACCCCAGGTATACCAACCATGGGTCTCAACCCCCAGGCATACCAACCACCGGTCTCGGAACACCCAGGCATACCGACCACCGGTCTCAGAACACCCAGGCATACCAACCACGGGTCTCTGAACCCCCAGGTATACCAACCACGGGTATCACAATCCCCAGGTATACGAACTACGGGTCTCTGAACCCCTAGGCATACCAACCACGGGTATCTGAACCCCTAGGCATACCAACCATGGGCCTCTGAACCCCAGGCATACCAACCACGGGTCTCAGAACCCGCAGGCATACCAAAAACGGGTCTCAGAACCCGCAGGCATACCAACCACGGGTTTCAGCATCCCAGGCATACCAACTACACAGTATCTTTTTTAACTATTGCTTCCTCGCTTCAAATAGAACAAATTGACGTTTGATTGGGATCCACTGGAAAGGGAAAGGGGAGAGGGGAGGGGAGGGGACAGTGTGAGTGAGGGGAGAAGAGGGGTGCGTTTAAGAGGATAGGATGAGGGGAGAGGAGAGGGGAAGGGTAGGTGGGGGGAGACGGAGAGAGTGAAAGTAAGAGGAGCAGATGAAATTGAGGCTGAGAAATTTATCCTCCAAACATCTATCTTCTGGATGTCTATTCTGCAGACATCTATCCTCTGGATGTCTATTCTCCAGACATCTATCCTCTAGATGTCTATTCTCCAGACATCTATCCTCTAGATGTCTATTCTCCAGACATCTATCCTCTAGATGTCTATTCTCCAGACATCTATCCTCTGCATGTCTATTCTCCAGACATCTATCCTCTGCATGTCTGTTCTCCAGACATCTATCCTCTGCATGTCTGTTCTCCAGACATCTATCCTCTGCATGTCTATTCTCCAGATATCTGTCCTCTGCATGTCTATTCTCCAGATATCTATCCTCCAAACATCTGTTCCCCAGATATCTATCCTCCAGACATCTATTCTCAGGTATCTATCCTCCAGACATCTATTCCTAGATATCTATCCTCCAGACATCTATTCCCAGATATCTATCCTCCAGACACCTGTCCACCAGAGATCGAAATCCCAGTAATCTAGCCACACACATCCACATATCAGAAATCTATCCACCTGATGATGTTTCCAAACGGAAAGCTATCTATCGTATTTATCTGTTAGGTCTATCAGAGTTCTGTTTTCAAGGAATCCACATATTAAGACATTTTTTCTTTCCAGATTTAGTTTCCTGGAAATATATATCCTTAGAACATCTATGACGATAGTTCTATTCACAAAATTGCTATCCCAATAGATTTATCTCTGTCCACAAGTCTATTGAGGTAGCATCCTAGCCAAGCCTCGATGGTGGAAGGTGCGGAAGTCTGGCCGAAGTAACGCTCTTTGCCAGTGGATAAAATTTTTAAGAATCGTCGCAAAATAACCACAGGGGGAGTTAAATGATAGCTCTAGGCCTTTCATGTTGCAATCAACACATCTTCAGGAACTTGCAGTGAGCCAGAGCCATTCCTCTGAGCGAATCTTCCTGGACTTGCTACTCATTTCTGCAACGTTGCAACCTCCTGAAGATGTATTGATTGCGACACGAAAGGCCTAGATTTATCAGTCAGTTGTGTGTGTGCGTGTGTGTCTGTCTCTGTGTGTGGATTATATCTAAAGGTGTCCCGTGTCTCGGTAGCGCACTCAGGTCACATACCGAGGGTTCGTGGTTCGATCTCCGGCATGATTGGAAACGTTGGTTATGTTTCCTTACACCTGCAGTAAGCAGATACCTGGGTGCTAGACGACTGTTGTGGGTGGCATTCTGGGGTGGTGGAATTGTACCATAAATAGGCCTGGCTAGGCTCTGAAGTGAGTTGAGGTAAGATAACAGCTCTTAGCTTGTAAATTCAGGTGTGTAAAAAAATACGCACACGTTGACAGTGTACACCGAGGGTTGTATAACGTACATACAGTGAGACTTGTATATATGTGTATGTACATCATGGGTTGTATATATGTGTATATACATTGTGGGTTGTGTATGTGTATATACGTCGTGGGTTGTATGTATACATGTATATGTATATACATCGTGGGTTGTATATATATATATATATATATATTATATATATATAATATATATATATATATATATATATATATATATATATATATAATATATATATCAATAACAACTCTGCACTAGCCAAGGAGTGGAACCCATGCTGTTTTGGCCCTCCTCATGGTGAGAAAAACGCATGACGCTTTACACCACTAGACACACAATCCTTAACAATGGTGCATCCAGCCAAGCTACATGTTGTACCCACCATCGAAGGACATACGGTGGTGTAGACGCCTCTGAGTTAATTTCAGTGTGTATACACCCAGGGTTTATATATATTATATATATATATATATATATATATATATATATATATATATATGTCGTGCCGAATTTGTGAAACTGGTCAATTAGCAAGAACTCATTTACAACTAAGTCCTTTCTAAAAATTTCTCTTATACGTTTAAAGATATATTTTTTTCATTTATGTTAATGTAAAAATTTATAATTTTGCACCAAAAGTATCTTAGAAAACTTACCTAACCTAATTCTAACAGGCGCAATTTAGTTTAGCCTTATCCTAGTAAATATATTTTAAAAACGTTTTTAGTAATTTATTACTAAACAAACACAATGAAATATATTTTTTTCGTTAGGTTCATAATGATTTTGGCGAAATTATTGCATACACAAATTTTCACTTGTCCTATATGGCAAGATGAGCGTTGCTATTTAAGCCAAGATCTCAAGTTCTGCCTATTCGGCACGACATATATATATATATATATATATTATATATATATATATATATATATATATATATATATATATATATATATATATATATATATATATATATATATATTATTGTGTGTGTGTGTGTGTGTGTGTTTGATGTGTGTGTGTTTGTGTGTGTGTGTTTGTGTGTGTGTGTTTGTGTGTGTGTGTGTTTGTGTGTGTGTGTTTGTGTGTGTGTTTGTGTGTGTGTGTTTGTGTGTGTGTGTGTGTGTGTGTGTGTGTTGTGTGTGTTTGTGTGTGTGTGTGTGTTTGTGTGTTTGTGTGTGTGTGTGTTTGTGTTTGTGTGTGTGTGTGTGTGTGTGTGTGTTTTGTGTGTGTGTGTGTGTGTGTGTGTGTGTGTGTGTGTGTGTGTGTGTGTGTGTGTGTGTATACAGCGAGAGTTGTGTGTGTATACACCAAGGGTTGTATATGTGTATATATACTTGTTCAGTTGATGGACATTGGAAATAACATTGCCTTATGGGTGAGTTTCTTGTCTCAGAGGAGGAGGAGAAAAGACAAGAAAAGAAAAGATAGAGGAGAGAATTAGAGAAAAATATGAAGAAGAAGAATCTCCTTGTAGATGGTTAACTGAGAGAGAAAGAGAAAGAGAGACAGACACACAGTGAGAGACTGACGGTAATGGAGGGGTTGGCTGTGAGTACTGTATTGTCGCTTTAGGTGTGCCCAACACAGCGTGGTGTGAGTGGGGAATGAGAGGTGACGGGGGGGGCGGGAGAAAGGGTGGGGTGGTTTGTGTGAGTGAGAGGTGTGGGGTTATGTGGGGGAGGGTGGAGAGATGGGGTTGCGGGAGAAGGGGTGAGAGAGGTGAAGGGTTTGTGGGTGGGGGTGAGAGGTGAAGGGTTGTGTGGGTAGGGGCGAGAGGTGAAGGGTTGTGGGGGTTTAAGGGTGAGAGGTGAAGGTTTTGGGGAAGGGGTGAGAGGTGATGGGTTGTGTGAGGTAGGGGTGAAAGGTTGTGGGGAAGGATGTTGGAGGATAAGAGGTAAGTGATGGTAGGAGTGATGGCTGTGGCTGTGGTTCTAGCTGTGGCTGTTTCTGGCTGTAAGTGTGGTTCTGCCTGTGACTGGTGCTAGCTGTGGCTGTGGTTCTGGCTTGTGCCAGCAGTGGATTGTGGCACTGTTACTGACATCACTCCCTCAGTGTTGTTATTGCTGCCAGTGGTTGAGCAGAATCAGTGTTGACGGTGTTAATAGAAGTGGGAATTGATGGTGATGGTGGAAAATAGGTGGCTGGCGGTGGAAGGGCGGCGGCGGCGTGCGATGGCGGAGGTGGCGGCGGTAGTGGCTGGAGGCTGGAGGCAAGCGCCAGTTGGGTGTGTAAGAGTGTGTAGAGCGGGTGCATCCGTGGAGCTCAGTGCCTCGCAGACACACGCAACACCAGCTCTAGTAGTCATGGTGAGGCAAGCCAGCAACTAATACGCTCACTACTGCACGCAGATACGTGTTATTCAGAGACACGTGCAGCACGGCAAAGAAAACAAGTAGAACTTGATCAAGGTATGATCAGCATCTTGAACGAAACGTGTTGCTAATAGCACTCTATCATCAGTATTCTTTGTGGCGTTTCTGGTGTTCCCCGCGCGACCTCTTGCTTGTCAGTGCGTGAATAAGACCCAGTATGTGTTCATGGCATTTAATTGAGAAGACATTTCGCCCACCCGGGACTCAAGCTGTGCTAGAAATTCTAGTGTGTAAAAGAGTCTTATTAGTGTTGATTCTGGAATTCTAGAACCGTCGTTGCATTTCATCTGGTGGAAGTTGTATTGTGTGTATCACGTTATGGTAAACCGGTGCATATTGCTTATCAAGTCCAAAGTGGTGTCTAAAAATTGTCAGTTATATCAGAAAACGCCTTAAACCTGGCATTGAAAAGTCAGTATATTAAAAAAAAAGGATCTTTCTCTTGTCTTTCTGTGTGTGATATGTCACTATTTTTTTTCAAACGAGACCTTGTTTAAAACGCTAGCCTCAATATCTTAATTTTTTGCTATAGCAGACTAGAATGCTTTACGAGAGCCTCAAGTTCTCAAGGTGTGAGTGTATTCCAATCACGGTATTGTGACATATTTTTCATTGATTTTGGTCTGTGATGAGTTAGAGCAAACGAGGTCAAACATTTGCGGGGGAGGGGGGGTGACCCCAAAGCCAGAGAGATGAACGCTTGTGCAGTGACCTAGAACGAGGTCACCGTTCGTGTGCTCTCCATCGTCGAGCTGAAGTTCGGGTCTTCAGCTCTTAATACAGTATCTACTGTGAGGATACATTGTAGACTGAACTTTAATTGGCGTAAATATCACTGGGCGTAGAGGTTTGTCAAGTTATGTTTCGCTCTGTGCAGAGCTTTCTCAAACGATGTTACGCTCTGTGTGGACGTTATGTCCTATATTGCTGTTTGGAGCTTTCTAGAGTCGTGTTTGTGTTTCTTTAGTCATGTTACGCTGTATAGAGCTTTCTAGAGTTATACTTCACTGTCTAGAGCTTTCTAGAGTTATGTTTCACTGTCTAGAGCTTTATAGCTATGTTTCGCTGTTTAGAGCTTCCTCAACCCCGCAAGACTTGACAAAGCTCTATACATACAAGAAAACGTTGACCCAATTAATGCTTGTTCTGTAACGTGCATATTTTTATATTCACTCTCTTGTCGACAGTGGGAAATTTGGAGTGTCGACACGTCTTTGGTAAGGAAATAAGTGCGACCGTGTAATAAGTATAGCTTTCAAGTACTTATTTATGTAGTATTGTATCGTAGTGTAGCGTTGTTGTATCATTGATTGTAAATTACAATAACGATAAAATATATATAATATATATATATATATTATTATTATTTATAATATATATATATATTTATTATATATATATTTTATTTTATATATATTACAACCCCACACACACGTATATATTTATTTATTGGGTTTTTAGTGTTTTGTGAGTGATTATATTTGGTTTGTGTTTGTTTAATGACTCGCCACCCACCCCGCCGACGGAAGTGAACCGTGACTTGCCGGAAGTGAACTGTAACTTACCGGAAGTAAACCACGATTTACCGGAAGTGAACCGTGACTTGCCGGAAGTGAACAGTAATTTGCCGGAAGTGAAGTGACCCCCGCCATAAATTAACCGTGACTCCGGAAAGCGACCAGCGACCTACAGGAAGTGACCACTGACCAGCCGGAAGTGACCCGTTACGCACCGGAAATGTGATGCAGATTAGGAGGGAGTTTATCAGCATATTCTCCAGTCGTCGAAAGAGAAATTTTGTTTAGATTTTGTCAACTTAAAGATGTCGCGAGAGCGTCGTGCCCTGTGCCTCGGTGCTGTAAACCCGTACGGGACCAGGGGTCACTTTGCGGTGGAAGGGTGGCATAGGGGTGACACCCTCCCAGTATAAAGGTGCCACCCTCCCACTGTGAAGGCAGTTATGGACATGGGTGCCGTCTCTTACCCAGGCGCCGTATGACCCTTACGGGTTTAGAACTCCTCCATGAGTATTACGGGCTCAGTGGGTTACATGTTAGACACCTGAACATGTTCGCGCTCAGAACATGTACCCTTCGAGAATGAACATATACGCCAGTGGAATGAACACGTACGTCAGAGGAATGAACAGTACCCCAGAGGAGTAAACATGTATGCTTCAAGAATGAACATGCACGTCACAGGAATGAGCATATTCACTCTGGAATGAACATGTTCACCATGACAACTGAACTACGCCACTACCGCAGAGAGTGTTTATAAAGTGGATCAGTGCCACGGAGTGGAACGTTCTTTACCTAGAAGAACGTTTAAAGTGGAATGAGCGTCCTTTCCCTATACAAGAGCGTTTTGAAATGGGGCAAGTGGTTCCTCCCTCTATAAAGACACGTTCAAAGTGTGGTAGTGGGATGAACGTTCTTTGAACCTGGGAGAACGTGATCTGAACTCACTTCAAAACACTGCCAAGGCCTTCAACTACCAACGTAATTATTTAATCACATCTTTCATTAGGAGATATTTTTATTTTGGTCCTGAGTATCAAACTTAGGAACAAAAATGAATATTTTTTTTGAAAAACCTGATTAAAGGGAATAATTGTGATTTTTTTTATTTCTTCAATAAAAATGGCAGAATTTAAAGCTTAAAGTTAATTTTTTTTGAAAAGGATAAAATTCAAAATTGTATGTATATATTATATATATATATATATATATATATATATATATTATATATATATATATATATATATATATATATATATATATATATATATATATCTAGTATATATATATATATATATATATATATATATATATATATATCTAGTATATATATATATATATATATAATAATATTATATATATATATATATATATATATAATATTATATATATATATATATATATATATATATATATATAATATATATATATATATATATATATATATTATATATATATATATATATATATATATATATATATATATATGGAGAGAGAGATACACAAGTATTTTATTTCTCTAGCTTTCACCATCGTTCAAAAGTTACTAGAAAGTTATGTTAATTTAGCGTAGTTAACGACTTAAGACAAAATATACTGATCATTTTTTTTCACATTAACATTTTTAACTGGGCCTCATGAGTGTCACCATAACGTTAGGCTGTTAACTTGTGTTAACATCGTGACTTTGAACATTGTGAGAATGTTAACGGTATGCATATTTAACGTAACATTAGAGGTTAATATTTTAAAGTTGTGTGTTAGACTTGTGGGATTACCCAGTTATATTGGCTTTCACTTACAGTTTTCTAAGGCTTGTCAGACGGAGGATCGAGTTGTTATCCTCATTGTGTTCATTGACCCACATGCTTTGACTGCTTCAAATAATAATAATACCGAATCCTGCTACTGCTATTGCTACTACTATTACTGTTATTACTACTGCTACTGCTAATGATGATAATAGTAATAATATACTACTAATTATCATAGTAATATACTACTACTACTGCTAATTATAATAGTAATAACATACTACTACTAATTATAACAGTAATAACATACTACTACTAATTATAATAGTAATAACATATACTACTATTATAACAGTAATAACATACTACTACTAATTATAACAGTAATAACATATACTACTAATTATAACAGTAATAAACATACTACTACTAATTATAACAGTAATAACATACTACTACTAATTATAACAGTAATAACATACTACTACTAATTATAACAGTAATAACATACTACTACTAATTATAACAGTAATAACATACTACTACTAATTATAACAGTAATAACATACTACTACTAATTATAACAGTAATAACATACTACTACTAATTATAACAGTAATAACATACTACTACTAATTATAACAGTAATAACATACTACTACTAATTATAATAGTAATAACATATTACTACTACTACTATTTTTATTAATGTGGGAAAAAATGGTCTGAAGTAATTATGGCACTGTGGTATTTAATAACTGGTATATGTTTTTTTCCATTGCCTGAATATTACATGATTATGGTTTTTAATTCACAGTTTAATTAGGTGAGGGTAGTGGGGAAATGCTAATGTTTGAAAGATAATTACAGTAGACATTACAGTAATGGCATAATTAATTACATTCAAAGTCATTAAAATTTCAGTGAAGGATTAGAGGCGAATGCACTGTAAGATATATATTTAACTATGTATATAAGAACAGATGTAATGAGATCACAGTAAACAGGGAATATCACAATATGCAAAACAATCACAGTGAAAATAATGTGAGAAGTCACGAAAGTGCTTTTGAGGTTCACTATTTTTTCATAATGGTTGTTTTGCAAATAACAGGATCAAGGCTGTCAAGAAGTCCCTGTGTTATTTATATATTTATTGACGTCTGGGTGCTGCTGCTGCTGTTTGCTCTTCGACGTAGTCAAGGCAGACAGACTAAGCAGGAACTGCTTCGTGAAATATGTTAAATTTCTGCTTGAAGACAGGGGGCGGTCGGTAATTCTCTTCATGTATGGAGGAAGAGAATATGAAAGCCTGCCTTTCTTTATGCTTCCTGAGGAATAATTTAACATTCTTATTGCACACCTTTCAGATGAGAATATTGTTATTCTCTGTATTTAGTATGTTATACATTGATAACATTCGCTTATGAGCTGAGAGGAAGAAACTATAACAAGCTGTGATTTTTTCGTTTAAATGCGACAGTTATCACTTTGATAATGATGGATAGGGTGTTTCATTATCCACTGTATGTGTTTCTTGTACCATAAAAGGAACCTAAATGCGAGTTAAGTTTAAAGTGAGAGAGGGATACGTATGTTTGAGGAATAAGAGTGGTATATATGCTTCCTCTTCCTCACCATGTGTCCACTCGTGCTTTGT